TCAGTGAGCTCATGACATATATGTGGAAAGTGATGTGGTGTCTGAGCTAGGATTGCTGTTAAACACAGTCAGATATAATAAAAGTGCTTTAAAATGATTGTTTATTAAATAAAAGTAACAACAATCTGTACTCTCAGCACGCTGCCATCTTATATTAACTGAGCAGGGAGTGAGGTGGTGGGGGCTCCAAGCCTATATTTGCCTTGGTCCCCAAATGCCTTGATACGGCCCTGGATGTGGGACTGACTTCTGGAGTGATCTGATTTTATCACACGTATAAATATTAAATGCGTATATATTATTGCTTTTCACTGGTAAAAATGTGTAATGGGGATAAATATACCTACTTTTTTTCTTTTCAAGCACTTTATTTTGTTTTCTTGATTTTATTTGAATAATTTTCTGCCCTTTTCTCTCTCTATTGGGCCATTCCCATCTGTACCGGGTTGGCCCGGGCCGGGTAGCCCCAGCCTGGCCCGGTTGATTCCACACAACCTTGCCTTAAGCCCATGTGGGCTGATTCTACCCACCAATCAGAGGCTTGCTCTAATGGAAGGTGTGAATTTGCTGTCAGCAGTGGGTGTGTTGGCCCTGGTCGGCCTGAAGCAGACCCCCTGAGAAGAGGGCTGAGAATGAGCCTTGGTTGGCCCGGAAAAATAACAGGCCACCCAGATTTGTAAACAACCTACGCTACCCGGCCCGGGCCGACCCGGTACTGATGGGAATGGCCCATAACCGCCCTGCATGCTGTATTTTTTTCTCCGTCTTCCAGAAAAACTGTTTCCTAGATTTCCTACTTTCTAACTAATCAGCCAAAGGGATCTACCGAATGCAAAATAAATAAATAAATAAAAGCTTAATATGCGCTGCGCTCCAGCAATGAGTTGAAATCACCGGGGCACAGATTATGAACTCATCTGAAAATTACATGAAGTACCAGAGAATATGGGCTGATATAAACGATCGCAAACGAATTACTTTGTTTTGGTGGAGCGATTTTGTGAATATAACAGCGGCCGCGTGCAGGACGCAGCTGGAGTATTTGAGCCGTCACCGCTGCGTCCTCTCTGCTCATAGAATGCCCGCAAAGCTGAGTCCATAAATGACGTCATATATGTGGATACTGGATCTTTTTTCAGGCTTCCCGCAATTTGAATTTTTAGGAAACCCGCATCTTGATTCTGGGTTTAAAAATGCATTGTAATTACCACGTTACTGACAATTGTACCGAGTAAATATTACCATTTTCTTTCCCTGTAATGCCTTACATTACCACATTACGGCAAAAAGCAATGCATTACAGTAATTAATTACTTTTGTACCGCATTACTCCCAACACTGAAGAGGAGTGTAACTGAATGAAATGACTGTTTTCCACCTAAAAGCTATTCCCCCCTCTCCTCAGCAAGAACTAATCTGCATGAGATATTGTTCAAGGTCTCATGCATCTGCTTCTAAACTGCTTCCTTTCCAGCCCAAGAGAAGAATGAAGACAACGGACTCTTTCTATTAAATAAATCAAAGAACTCTATTTTTAATAAGCTAATCAAACAAAGTGTTAGTCAATAATAAAATGTGAACCGATTTGTGAAATGAAAATATTAATTACTTGATATTATAATCCTACAGAATATAATAAGTAATATGACTTTAAATGTTTTCACTAGAGACTGATCCCACGTAAGGTTAAGCCACATGACACATTGCTTTTACTGATCCAATCAGAATCTTCCAGATCTGATGGAGGCGTGGTTTTGGTGGTGCTTGGTAAATCTGTCATCTTTTCATTCGACCATAAACCAAAACATCCGACTTATAAAACTATGCCCACGACATCTTTAACTCCAGTTCAAAGCGTTCTAGAAGTTGTCGGAGTGGCCAATCCATAACTTTCCTCTTCAGCCGAAAGAACCAACGACAAGCTGGATAAAATCTGTTGCTGTTCCAACTGCTGCAACGGTTCCTTTCAGAATAAAAGCTGAACCATCACGACCCCGTTTTGGGTCTCGCTAGATGCCAATAAAACTGTCGTGACCCGGAAGTACCTCAAGACTGGTCTGGTCGGCAATCGCTGCTTTTCCTACCAGCTTCGGTTCCAGAGAAGGTCAAGCTGGACCTCGACATTCCTGATCTACCGGGGACTTCCGAAAGGGTACGTAGAGCTGACAGAATGACGTCTCAATGTGTGTTTATGAATCTCCAAACCAAAGCTTAGCGCAAAGACATCACCTTCACTCCCATCAGAACTAATCGTTTCTCCAGATTTGCTTGTTCTTAACAACATCCCACACTACACCATTCTCCGTTTCATTCACCTTAGTTACACCATACATTTAGTGTTTAAAGTTGGTCTAGTTTTAATTAATTAAGTCATAAAACTTCAAACTTTTAAAACTTGACTCTCTTTCTTTTGTCTCCGAGTTAATATGAAGTTATTACATAATCCCTGCAATAAAAAATTCCAATCTTCTGGTTTAAAGTACCCAAAGATCCATGAGATTGGTTTCATATTTATTATGGAATCTCGTGTCCTATGGTTCATTAAATAACATGCATATTAAATTCTTACAGGAGTCAAACAGCTGGGAGGTAGGTTTTTTCAGAACTGCTGGAGCAACACAGAAGCTGCTTTCTGAGCTTTCAAAAATAAAAAGGTCATCTCGCTCCGTAGCGAGTCCTCAAAATCTGGATTCCTTCAGTCCAACCAACATACCATGCAGGATCCAGACCAGACATGTGTGAAATAAAAGTCATGATAGATGGATGAAGGTCAGAGCTCTGTTTGCTAACACAGCACACATGAAAACACCTTGGCTGACTTGTCCCCCCCCCCCCCATGGGCAGCGCAGCAGCCAGAACAGACTCGTGTCTGAGATCCGAAAGTTTACATACAAGCTTGGAGTAAGGCCTTCATCACTCTCGGGATTAGAGTCAAGCAACAACGGAATAATAATGATAATAATAATAGTGATAATAATACTGTGGATGTCCCAATCAGGTTTTTTTGCCCTCGAGTCTGAGTCAGAGTCATTTGATTTTGAGAAACTGCCAATACCGAGTCCCGATCTGATATTTCAATACATAAAAAAAAAGGAAAGGAAGAAACAGTTCCAGAATGTTCCTTATTTTTTATTTAATTATCTTTTTATTTAAATTTTTAACAACAGATCACTTCTGTGAGGTAGCTTTAACACCCAAGTAATAAATAACAAATTCTTCACTTTTGGGCTTTATTGCAAATATAAAAAGTCTAATATAAAAACAGAAAGCATTTCAACTTAAAATACCTGGCAGGGGTCTATTTTGTCTCAGCCCCCAAAATGCTTAGATACGTCCCTGGGTATGGGACGGAGTTTAGAAGATGATCTGAATTGTATCAACTATATAAATACTACATGCTTATAAGTTATTGCTTTATACAGGTAGAAACGTGTAGTGGGATAAATCTACCTTTTTTAAGAACTTGGTTTTTATTTTCCTATCTTCCTGTTCTGTCCGTCTCTGATCTTCCTGCATCTCCCAGTCCTCCAGAAAACCTCCTGCCTGCTTCCTTCTTTTTCACCTCACGAGTAACTTTTAACTAGCAGATCAAATTGATCTATTGACCGCAAAAAAGCGGAGTGTGCGCCGCGCTGCCCGGCTGCGCCAGTGACGAGCGCTGCAGCGCGAGCGCGTCCGCACGTCATGCTCAAATACAGACCGAACTTACCAGCGCCCTCATACCTACTCCACTTTACACCACTATCAACTCAGAGGGTGCGAGTTAGCCCACATGACACAGAGATGCTGAAGGTGAGGCGTAGTGCTCCAGGTCAGAATAACCCTGAAAAGTCATGATTCAACAGAAAACAGGAAGATCTCATACATTTTAACTAAAACCAGACGGAAGTGGGGGACATCTTTAGCAGTGTTGCAAAAACCAGCAAAGAATTACAGGAATTTCAGTGGGCAGTGGTTGTTTATAGCATCTTTTTCTTTTCTTTTTTTTTTGGAGGGGGGGGGGGGGGGGTTTAAAGACACAGACCTGCTTTTTAGAGAAGTTTGGTTAAACTGCCGGCTGTTGCTTTGCACGAATAAAAACCAGTTTTGCATCAAGAATAATGATCAAAAACTTATTTCCTCCATCCCTCCCTCCTCTAGTTCACTGGTGATTAGAACACCAACAGGTTTGAGGCACAAATGGAGCAAAACTAAAGTTCTTCTGATAATATTATGAAGGTTATTCATGAACTTCATCACTAATGGTACAAAATACAGCAATAAGCAACATTACAGACAAATACTTAGTAAATAAATATCCACTGAAGGCAGTTTCATTATTTATTATCCGTTGTATTAAACCAACTGTCTTTGATATTTTGATGGAAAAACTCTGATTCTCAGAATGTGTTACAATGATATTTATGATTTCTACTATTAGATAAACTAAGAAACAAATCAATTGCCATCAGAGTTTTAATTTATTCCAACAATGTCGCTTTTTTTTTTTATTTCCCACTGCACAGAAAGTTTCCCAGACTTTTGCTGAATCTTGCCAACACAAACCATGATTTTGAACACATAAACAACCTCTGCCCCGAGGCCAAGGAGCTCACAAAGTTCAGATCATCATAAATTCATAGATAAGAAAATATATGTTTTATATCCGGGAACCCGGGAAGTGGGAGACATCAAGGTGAGAGGCAAAGAATATGGCAAAATAAGGAATCTGCAGGAAACACAAGGAGTGTGTGCGCGCACACACACACAACAATCCATTTCCTGTTTGGATAAGTGCCACTTTTCCTCAAGAGGAGGTCATAAAGTCACCCCTGTGGCAAGCACATGCAACTTTAACAGGCAGAATGTGTGTGTGTGTGTGTGTGTGTGTGTGTGTGTGTGTGTGTGTGTGTGTGTGTGTGTGTGTGTGTGTGTGTGTGTGTGTGTGTGTGTGTGTGTGTGTGTGTGTGTGTCAGCTGTCCCCCCCCCCCCCCCCCCTTCATCAATCTGGTCACTGGGTTCGGTGGGAGCTCAGGCCAGATCTAAATAAACAGATCAATTAAACTGATGGATTTATTGATGTTTCATCATCACAGAGTCCAGTCGAGTTTCCACCTCTAACAGCGACCACTTTGTGGTGCAAAAGATCCGTTTTAAGAATAAACATCACTTTGTTTCCCCAAAGGTCTGAGACTGCTGGCACCAAGTGAGGCAGGAGTAAATATCTGTTTATAAGTCAAATTATTATAAGATCTTAAAGGAAAATCACTGAAACTTCTTAAATGTCATTGAAAATTGAAGTTTAATACTTTTTATAGTTTCTGAATAAGAAAAATAAAAGAAATCAATGAGAGAATAGTTTGGTTAAAGCATGAACAAGAAAGTAAAGAATAGCACAATAAGGGTTTTAACATTAACAGCATTCATTCTAATAAACATAACACTTGCATGTGACTAAAAACAGTATGCACTGAATAAGCATCATAAAAATTTTCTAAACGGCAAGAGCTGCCACTTATTCACTGCTTTAGAAGTATTTTATTTATTTATTTCTGTTTTTATTTCTCATTCTAACTTTAGCAACAGAGTTTGTACTGTTATGATTTCCTTATGAAACCCGCTTCATATTTCATTTCCTTTTATAACTTCATTGTTGTGCAGAAAAGCATCTAAATGACAAACAGTCCAGAGTTTCAAGTCTTGCTGATCCAGTAAAGATGAAGAAGGTCCATCAAGGTCAAAGTCAGGTTTTTCTCCCATCACCGACCTGCTGACATGAGTCAGCGTTCCTGCAGACACTAGGGAGTCACGACCACATGCACACGTATGATAAATAAAGGCATCTTTACTCACAGCCCAGATGTCTGAGCTTTAGTTTTCTTATTCTTAGTTTGTAATAAGAATGTTCCGATCATGTTTTTTTGCTCCCGATCAGATTCATTTGACTTTGAGTATCTGTCGATACAGAGTCCCGGATAAGATACTTTTTAGAAAAACATTAAAATCACAAGAAAAAAAGGTAATCATTTTTAGCAAAGCATTAAAATAAGAAAGAAATAATTAAAAAAGGGAAAGCATTAATATAAGAACAGGGTTTTTCCTGCATTCAAATTTGCGTGATGGCCGCCACCAGCTAATGTTGTGCCGCCCCAGCCTGATTTCACTCTGCCCCCAGCTATATGGATGTTATTTTAACTGCAGTTGCAGTATTGCACCACTACAGGGGCGCTGTATCAGCAGCGGTGCACAAAAAAGCACTAAAACCGCTGCAGAAAAAGAAGATCAAAAATTGCTTTTCTCCCTAGTTGGTACAGATCTATGGTTGGTGCTGTTGACGTCCTGATTTACCCCCAGGCTCTTCCACATCAGAGCAGGACTGTAACTGTCTGTGCGTGTCTGTCTATTTTTAAACGTAGCACTGGTGCAACATCTTTGAATTACTATTTTCCCCAGAACTTTATTGAACAAAAGTAAGTTACGTGTAAGAAAAATGCTTTTTACTGGCGTACAGTGTGGTCATCTGGATGCAGTGGAGGAAAATTAAGGAACCAGCAAAGGCAGAACCGGTCCAAAGTTTGGGATCAAAAGTGCAGCTACACGCAGATTGGCTAATGCTAAAGCTAACGGGTAGCAGTCTCACGATCAAGTGGCAAACAGAAAAATATACGATGATCGTAAAACTAAGAAAGATTAAACTCTACAAGTGGATGAAAAGTCCCCACCATCCTGTTTTTTCTGCATCCTGCAGCGCTACGAATCAGAACGTTGGTTACGTATTGTAACCCCTGATTCTATGAGTCTAGTCGCAGCCCTTAAGCTAGCTGCTATTGGAAGGGTGATCTCAGCATCAGCCAATCATGAAGAGCTTAAATGTACGTAGGGTTGTCACGGTAACCGGTATAGCGGTAAACCCCGGTAAAAAAGTTGACAATAAAAATAACCGTCCAGTTTTTAAAAAACTATATTATCTCGGTGGGTTTACCGTGGCCGCGGTTTCAGCGCGGTGACCCTTACCAGCCACCGTCGCTTCAGCTGAAGTTCCCGCGGCGCGCACACGCACTTTTTAGTTTGCAACGGCACCAAAACTTTGAAGCTGAAATAATGGCCGAAGGAGGCGACGGCAGCGCCCAGGACATCCATCAGCCCTCAAAGAAGACTAAATCGGAAGTATGGGCATATTTTGGATTTCTGAAAAATGCTGAGGGACAGTTAATAGAAGACGGCTATCCCGTTTGCAGAACGTGCAGGAAACAAGTGTCTGCAAAAGGCAGCAACACTTCGAATCTAATGGCACATCTGAGTGACCATCACCCACGTCTCTACAGCCAGTGCAAGGTAAGTTAACATTAGCATTTTAGCTTAAATGCATGACGTGAGGACTTTTGGTTGAGGGAGAATGCAACGAGTCACTATATACTGCAGCCGCAGCGTCCTCTGCCAGCATTTAAACCGTGTCACGGACACCCTGTTGCTGCATGAAGCATCTTATTTGTTGATGATGAAGAGAAATATACAATTAGTTCCTTGTCATTGATTTGTTTACTTATTCAATGCCATTTATACTTGAACATTTGGATTTGATTACATAGTGTAGTAGTTATTTTAGTAATTTGTTTAAAGTGGCTATTTATTTTAAATACATATTTTTTTAAGGTTGACTTCAAGTCAAGTGTGGACTGGAGTTTTAGATTTTCATTTTGATAATGAAGAAAACAAGTATATGAGAAAACAAGTGGTGTTTCTTTGATTTGTTTACATATTGTTTATGTTTCGAATGTTTGGATTTGTATCATTTAAAGCTGCACTGACTACTGTAACATGTTCCAGAAAAAGAAGCTATTTGTTCCTTTACTTGTGAAAAGTTGCACTTTTGCTAAGGCTTTGTGTTATTTTAGGTTTAATAAACAATGTTAAACCTTTTCAAAACTATTTCAGTTTGTGTAGAACAGGACTATCAATGCTTTCTGAACATATGCAAAACCGTTTAAAAAATACCGCGATAATACCGAAAACCGTGATAATTTTGGTCACAATAACCGTGAGGTTAAATTTTCATACCGTGACAACCCTAAATGTACGCCCACCAATGGTGGGCACCCCTGTGGGTATATAAGTGGAGCGACTCCACTGTTCGCCTCCGATGGCTTTGGTCCTAACAGAACCATTGGGGCCATTGGCTTAAGGGCTGCGACTAGACTCAAAGAATCTGGGGTTACAATACGTAACCAACGTTCTATTTCATCTAGTCTTGGCCCTTAAGCTAGCTGCTATTGGAATAATGCGCAGCTGGATGCGTTTACGCCACACTGGTTAGCTCAACCAAATGGACACACCCAACATGTCCCCTTTTAGCGAGGGTTGCTCATGCCCCAGCCCAGGGGTTAAAAGGCTGAGGCAGCCAGAGAAAAGAGTGGGGTTCCCACTAAAAATATCATCTGCAAGAGGATGATTTTAATGGTCCATCGATGTAATCACCGGCTCATGTATGAGGGATGACAAAATAACAAGCAGCCCGGGTAACAAGAGGGCAATGAATTCAATGGGATCCGTCAAGAGGGACATAGGTAATGATTGTGCACATGACCGTCTGGATATGGATCATTGAAGTAGGGCTGATGTGGTGCCATAACGTTTTCACTCAGCCTGCTGAGGTCCAAGCACTGAACAAGTGATGGATCCTGAAAACACATCTCATAAATAATAACGAGTAAAGGAACATGGGGAAGCCCATGAAGCAGCCTGATAAATGTCTTCCATCGACACACCACTGTGGAGCGCCATAGAAGAGGAAATACCTCTGGCTGAGTGAGCCCTGAGTGTCTCAGAAGGATTCCGCCCTGATGAAGATAAAGCAAGTGAAATGGCGTCACATAGCCAGTGTGAAAGACGCTGGGTCGACAGCGCTTGAGTCTCTGTAGTGCACAAACAGGCTTTGTAAGCGGCGAATCCCTGAAGTGCGTGACACATATCGTGCGAGCGTGCGCACCGGGCAGAGAAGGTGGGAAGCCGCCTCCTCGTCAGAATTATGGGGAGGAGGAAAAAGTCCAGCCAATGAAAATGACCTGGATTTGAAGGAAGTATTAATGTTTTTGGGCACAAAGGCCGGGTTGGGGCATAAAACAGCAGACCCGCCATCTTCCCGGATCCTGGGGCATGCGGGAACCACTGAGAGGGCGGTTAGGTCGCTCACTCTCTTGACTGATGCCAGCGCCAGCAGCAAGGCAATTTTGAGTGACAGGAACTTGAGTGAGACCTGGTCCAAGGGCTCAAATGGGGCTTCAGATAAGCCGCGCAGAACCACTGTTAGGTCCCACTGGGGAAATAGCGGGTGGGACACAGGTCTGTCCCTCCTGACACCTTTTAGAAAACGTTTTGTGATGGGATGATTGAAAACAGATCCATCTCCAAAACCCTGGTGACAGGATGAGATAGCTGCAGCATATGTCTTAATAGTGCTGAATGCGAGACCTCTGTCCATCAGCATCTACAGAAACGATAGGACATCCGCCAGCTGGCAGGAGAGCGTTTGAACATTCCGCTCTGTGCACAATTTCTGGAAAGCTGCCCATTTAGCAGCATAAGATGCGATGGTAGAAGGCGCTCGCGCACTCTGAATCGTGGCGACCACATCATGCGGCAGCCCAGAAGCCTCTAAGAGAGACCGCTCAGCGGCCAGACCCACAGCCGTTGGCCTATTTCTGGAGGATGTCTGATTATCACATCCACCTGGAGAAGGGCGTCCGCCCTCCACGGGGAGCCGGACACCAGTGCTTGCAGGTCTGGAAACCATGACGCGGACAAGCGTCTGGGAGCTACCAGAATTACCGAGAGCTGTTCCGACCGAACTCGGTCCAGGAGTCGGGGAATCAGTGGGACTGGCGGAAAACGCATACAGGAGCGTCTGAGGCCAGGGCTGGTGTGAGAAGGCATCCGCTCCGAGCGGGGGGTGGTCCCGGGGACTCAGGGAAAACCACAGGCGACACTGAGCGTTTTCGCGAGCCGCTAACAGATCCACAGATGGTTCCCCGAATGGACAACAGGTGGACATGTGTCCAACACAGTAAATCTGTGGCTACGCACAATAGTGGGAGGGATCAAACTCCCCCTTGGCGATTTATGTAGGCTTCCGCCACCTGGTGGTCTGTGTGAACTTCGACATGATGGCCCTCGAGAAGGGAAGCGAAGTGTCTGATCACATTCCTCACTGTCATAAGTTCAAACACATTTATGTGCTCGTGCATGTGGGAGGGCCAGCGATCTGCCACTGTATGGGACAAGCACGTGCCCCCCAACCCAACAGTGACGCATCCGTAAAAACAGTGAGAGGATGCAAGGATTCCACCAGTGAGCGAGGTCCACGCCCACTGAAAGGGGGACCCTCAACACACGTCTCTTCTGATGTATCGGGTGTAACCGGAGGCAGATGAACCAACGCTGTAGGCGTCTCGTGTGCAGTAAACCTAACGGCACCACAGCGTGGGCTGCAGCCATCGTGCCCAGAAGTTTCATAACTAACAGGGCTTTCACGATCTTGCGGGGTTGCACGCGGGAGATCACCATGGTGAGATCTGCCGCTCTCGCCGGAGATAAACGTGCTCTCATTAGGGAGGTGTTCAGCTCCACCCCGAGAAACACAATCGACTGGGATGGAAGGATGGAGCTCTTTTCCCAGTTTATGGAAAACTCCAGGGTTGACAGATGTTCTGTTAACTTCCTGGTTTGCTCTGACGCCTCGTCCCTGGACCGGGCGCATAGGAGCAGATCGTCCAGGTAATATAAAACCCTCATTCCCGCCGTGCGCAATGGCTGCAGAGATGTCTCCAGACATTTGGAGAAGGTGCATGGGGCTAGCGAGTAGCCGAAAGGGAGACGATTGAACTGGTATTGAACTCCCTTGAATGAAAAGCGCAGGAACTTCCGGTGTTTGGGAATTACTGGGATGTGGAAGTATGCGTCTTTCAGGTCTATCGACGTGAACCAGTCCCCGGAGTGCACGTATTCTAGGACATGCATTATCTTGCTGAAACATGAGGTGATGTTCATGGATGTACGGCACAACACTGGGCCTCAGGATCTCATCACGGTATCTCTGCATTCAAAATGCAAACAATAAAATGCACCTGTGTTCTTCGTCCATAACAGATGCCTGCCCATACAACAACCCCACCACCACCATGGGCCACTTGATCCACAACATTGACATCAGCAAAGCGCTCACCCACACGACGCCACACACGCTGTCTGCCATCTGCCCTGAACAATGTAAACTGAGATTCATCCGTGAAGACAACACCTCTCCAACATGCCAGATGCCATCGAATGTGAGCATTTGCCCACTCAAGTCTGTTACGGCGACGAGCTGCAGACAGGTCAAGACCCCAATGAGGACGACGAGCATGCAGTTGAGCTTCCCTGAGACGGTTTCTGACAGTTTGTGCAGAAATTGTTTGGTTATGCAAACCAATTGTTTCAGCAGCTATCGGAGTGGCTGGTCTCGGACGATCATGAAGGTGAACCTGTTGGATGTGGAGGTCCTGGGCTGGTGTGGTTACAGGTCGTCTGCGGTTCTGAGGCCGGTTGGATGTACTGCCATAATCTCTGAAACGCCTTTGGAAACGGCTTATGGTGGAGAAATGAACATTCAATGCACGAGAAACAGATCTGGTTGACATTCCTGCTGTCAGCGTGCCAATTGCACGCTCCCTCAATGCTTGTGGCATCTGTGGCATTTTGCTCTGAGACGAAACTGCACATTGCAGGGTGGCCTTTTATTGTGGGCAGTATAATGTACACCTGTGCACTACTCATGATGTTGGATCAGCATCTTGATGTGGCACACCTGTGAGGTGGGATGGATTATCTCAGCAAAGCAGAAGTGCTCACTATCACACAATTAGACTGATTTGTGAACAATGTTTGAGAGAGATGGTGATATTGTGTATCTGGAATGAATTTTAGATCTTTAAGTCCATCTCATGAAAAATCGAGCAGAAACAAAGGTGTTGCGTTTATATTGTTGTTGAGTGTGTGTTCCCCATCACCTTCCCAGAACTTCTATTGTGGAAACACGGCTATTGTCCCACACCAACTTGTGAAAATGTTAAGACACTGAATTGATGACAGGCTTATACTGTTGCCATGGTGATGATGGTTTACCAACAACACGTTGCTGCTGGGTTTAATTTAATTAGACAAAACGGGTGATGGAAATAACCGGAAACTGTGTCTTCCCATCTCCATTGAATGGGGGCTGTCTGTGGATCACAGAGACTTCCCTCAAAGAGAGGCATTTTCCAGATTAACAAAGCACTCCCTGTTCACAGCCTCTTAGCAGCCACTTCACACGCAGCACAAGGTGGAAGCCCCCCCGGGACGCTCTATTCACTCTCCACAGCTTCCTGCTCAAGGTCGGCAGACACTGAATGGTAGCAGACGACGGTGATAACACTTCACAATACACAAGCAATGTTTTCTGCATCTGCAAGAGCACATAAACAGGCACAAACTTCCTCTTCAATGCTGTGGTTTAAATAGGTTTTACAGGCTCAACTGGGAGGTAATGGTGCAGTTTCACTACAGAACAGGAAATCTAGATTTAATATGTTTATCTGACGCAACCAACGTGAGCAACAGCTGCTCATTATGTCATCCCTAATCTCCTTAATGACCTTTTCCAGGTTTTCTTAGAAAACTTGTTTTAGATTGCCAAGTTTAAAATACCAAACCTTTGGCTTTCCAATAAATAAAAATCCTGGTTACAGGCAGCTGAAATGAGCTTCCTTCATAGGGTGGCAATAAGGTTAGGAGCTCGGTCAACTATGGTGAGCTGGACGCAGATGCTGCTCCTTTGCACCAAAAGGAGTCATCCAAGGTGGTTTGGGAATCTGATTAGTTTGCCTCTTGAAGGTTTTCCAGGTACATCCAACTGGCAGGAGACCCCTGGTAAAACCCAGATTACACATCCTCTCTGGCCTGGGAATGACTTGGGAATCCCTAAAGGGCGCTGTAGGAAGGAATATCTTGGATTCCCTCCTGGACCATTTACCCCCACGACATGGTCTTTGGATAAGAGGAGGGAGGGCAGACGGCCGGTCGGATGGATCAACTTGTCTCCCTCTGAGCGATGAGAGTCACTAGACGGGGAAAACATCCATGACTTTTTAACCAGAATATTTCCATGTGGCCATCTGAACCCCTCATGACTAAAAACCACCAACCAGAGGCAGTCGTTTAGTTGTAGATGTGTCAGCAAGCAGACACACCCAGACCAGACCAGACCAGAGGAGGGATCTCACCACAAACACAGATGCATCACTGGCTTCATGGAGAAAGAGATGGGTGGAGGAAGGCAGTAAGACTAAAATATGTAAAGATGACTCCCTTCTGCTGATTAAAAACCCAAGTACCTGCAGCTTGACCTTCACCTTGAGAATTTCTGCCCATCTCTCATCCATGACTAGGGATGTAACAATCCACCACAACGCCACCAACATAAGCCGTGTTTCTACTGTAGGAGTTACAGGAAAAAGCTAGGAGAGAGGAAGGTGACAAGATGCAATGGTTCGGTCCTCTCAGCCGTTGTGTTCTCATACAAAATCGGGCCCTTTTGGGTGACGCCACTGATCAGAACTAAAAGTCATCCACGGACATTAACCAGCTCAGTGATCTAGTGAAATGAGTGTCCGCCCTGAGATTGGGAGATCATGGGTTCAAATCCACAGTCAGGTCATACAAATTATTTTAAAAATGGGACCCAATGCCTTCCTGCTCGACACTCAGCATTAAGGGGTTTGATTGGGGGGTAAAACCACCAAATAGTTCCTGAGCGTGGCCATGTCTGCAGCACAGAAAGCTCTGCGTTTACTGTTTTTAACTTCACCTCTCCTGGTGAAGCGCCTCGGGATTTTTAAGATTGTTTTATGTGTTTGTTTTTTTGGTTTCTTGAAACAAAAATTTAAAAAGAACAAACTTCGACTGACCTTAAGTGACTCAATGAGTTCGTACTGGAGGTTTTACCGGTATTAAATAAAATGCACAAGAACCAGTTTGAATATAGCAAAGAAAGTGTGGAATTTCCCCGTTGACACGAGTCAACGGGAACAAATATTGCAATAATGTTAAAAAAAAGTTTTTTTCAAATAAGAGTTCATCGTTGGCCTTTGCTCATCTCCAACTGTCTTGTTTCACTTTTCGACATGGATGGGGAGGTTGTCATGGAAACCAAAGTGGGCAGTGGCATGGTGATGACCTCGCTCTCAGCTGAATGCTGTTTGACAGGACAATGCCTCGAAATCAAAAGGAAGAATAAATTTGTCTACCCGCTATCCTCTTCATCCGCCTCTCGTCTGATTGGACAAACGTCCCCTTTCATCTTTAAGACTCAAAAGCCTTTCAAGTTGAATATTGGGACTGAAAATTTGACCTTGGATGCATCTTGAAAGAATTTCTGGTAAAAAATAAAAATAAAATTCTGAAAGATCCCGGATCTGCTCAATTCAACACCTGTCAAACATGTTTTGAGAATCTGAAACAGACCAATTAGCCAACAAAAGGAACCGTGCATACCTCAGTGTATGTGTGTGTGTGTGCGTGTGTGTGTGTGTGTGTGTGTGTGTGTGTGTGTGTGTGTGTGAAGTGAAAGGAGAAGTGGGAGGTGTGGGATGCTATTATTCATAGTCTGTGGTGTGTATTTCTGACCTGAGAGATGTGGTTGATGGATGACTCCATGCGCCGCAGCTGCGAGGCCTGGATGTCCAGCAGCTGCAGGACATTGTTGGCTAAGGCATTGATCTGGTAGGCCACACTGGCCAGGGACTGGGTGGTGTAGGCTTTGGTCTCCTCCAGAGCTTTCCTCTTGTCCTGGGCCTGCCCCCCCCCCCCCAAAAAAAAAAACAAAACAAAAAAAGATTAATCCACTTTTGTAGTTCCTTAAAGCCAACTGATCGATGGCGACATCCAGCTGTCCCTGACTTTCATTCCACACATTCCAAACTCACTTTGAAGGAGCTCGTATGACGTAAACCCTCCTGCAACCACCGGAGTGAACCTTTCACAAACCACTATGAAGAATCACACCTAAAATGATGTAATTCAATATCTAAACGTGTCCCTTATTTGGCAGAAACTATTAGGTACACATTCAAGTTTAAAGTCAATCAATGCTGATGAAAAAAAGGTAAAAACCACCAAACGTGCACACAACACAAACATAAAAACTAACCTAATTTGCAATATTATGTCTGGCGACAATTCAAGGTATAAATCACTGTGGAAACAACATTCTATGCAATAAAAAGCACCAAGACATGATTTAATTTAAATATATAAATCTGGTAGAAAGTCACATCATCATTAAACATATTAGTTTGCTCAGTGGTTAGCCGTCTTAAAAAAGACACTAAGGAGCTAATTACTAGCCAACAAACTAACTAAAACTTTATTTATATAGCGCCTTCACATGGCCCAAGGACCAAACAAAGCGCTGCACAGCAGAAATAAGCATTAAAAAAATAAAGAAAGAAAATAAAAAATGAAAACATATAAAACCATTTCAAACCAGCAAAAACATGCAGATAAAATCTAGGTGGGGCAGCAAAGAGTGCAAAGCCAACAGTTAACGGGACTCTTCCTGAATAAAAGCTAAAGAATAAAAGAGTTTTCAGCTGGTTCTTAAACTTGCCGAGCGTGCTGGCCTGTTTAACCCATGCAGGTAGCTCATTCCAGAGCCTCGGCCCCAGCACCGAGAAAGCACGACCCCCTCGGGATTGTAGCCTGTGTTTCGGAACGACTAACAGTCCTTGTTGTGCTGACCGAAGGTTCCTTGTGGGAACATAAGGCTGAATCAGGTCTGCCAGACAACGTGGAGCCAACTCATTTAAACATTTAAAAACAAACACCAGAACTTTAAACGAAATTCTGAAAGAGACTGGAAGCCAGTGTAGGGATGCCAAGACGGGCGTGATGTGTTCAGATCTCCTGGTACCAGTCAGTAACCTGGCTGCCGCATTTTGGACCTTCTGCAGTTTCGCTATGGAGGCCTGCTTGATGCCTGCATAAAGAGAGTTACAGTAGTCCAGTCTGGTGGTAATGAAAGCGTGGATGACGGTTTCCAGATGTTTACGAGCTGCAGCGGCTTAATCTTAGCTATTCTCCTGAGATGGAAATAGCAGGATCTGATTGTTCCATTGACCTGGGTGTCCAGTGTGAGCTCTACATCCAACTTCACCCCCAGGTTGGGGACCACAGCCTTCTCAAAAGGCGCTAATGAAGGAGAGACAATCCCTTGGGCGCATCCATGTTTGTATTTCGGGCAGAACAGGATAGTCTCAGTTTTATTCTGGTTGAAGAACAATAAATTTTGAGCCATCCATTAATTAGCCCGTTCTTCTTGGTTTAATAATAATAATAATAATAATAATAATAATATCTGTTAAAATAGCTCTATGAATTACCTCAATTTGGAGAAACAGAAATAAGCTCTGAGTGGATTAACAAGCTAATAGGTGGTCATTGTAGAGTCAAGACCAAAGTAGCATCTTAAAAAGAACTACAACACTGAAAAACCATTTTTTTTTATTATTCTTTCTGATTATAATTGGTCATTTAGAGTTTTTCATGCAGGCTGAACATGAAAACAATCTTCTACACCTATCTCCTGCTTTAGCTGGATAGAAAAGACGGTGAAACTATAGGATTGAAAAAGCCTGACAGATCTACGTCACACTATCACCCCAACTTGATTTGTGACAAGGAAGGCTGTTGTTGATTTAGCGTCCAGCAAACAGCAGAGAACGTCTCAGCTAGCAGAGGCTAACCGCTAGCATTAGCAACTCCACTAGACAGCAGAACTCCCCCAGGCTTGTGTTATTTGTGTAAATAAATCATCAGTTTTGCAAGTCAGTGGTAGTGTCATGTTGCTTTTATCCAATCTGGGGCGAGATGTCCAAATATCGGGAAATAAGAGTCCAAAACCTGTCTGAAGAAGTCTGAAGCTTCTTTCTCCTCCAGCTGACTTCTACTTCCTGATTCAGGCACATCTGAGAAGGTGGCCGATGAGATTGCTTTAATTTCTAGGATCGATTGGTTCCTGTAACACTCGTGTATGAACATGTGCTGAATTCAGTTACAAACATCCTCCCACGTTTTGTTAATGATTCCAAAAAGATGAACTGATAACCAGTCCTTTGAAAGAAGACTGAAGCAGAAATCTGACTTTTGATCCTCAGTCCAGTCAAAACAGCAGCTCCTGCGCCGGGCTTTGATAACAGGCTGTTGTAGCAGGAGGTGGGCGGTGCCGGCAGCGCCTGAAGAGCTGATTACTAGTGGTTAGTAGTTAGGGGGCAAAGCAAAAGAAACGGGAAACATCTGTCCACAAAATAGAGAAAAATCAAGGAAAACAACCAGCAGAGAGGTCAATGACTCCCTTGGCGCTAATCAAGTCGCTAATCTGGAATCAATCCGTGACCTGAAGAGCTGACCTGCTGGCTAAACTCTCAAAACAACATCAGCTGTTCGGATCAGAGTAGCAGACACACAGAGTTTTGCGCACAATACTGCGGTAACATTACGCCGATTTGCCGGCATGGTGTGTTCTATAAAAGCACCTAATCACCGTGCAACTGCACATGCCTATGCTGACACGGCAGAATTGGTTTAACAGCTGAAGGAGTCCTAAACTGCAGGTTTCTTCTCTTTGCTGTGAAAATTCATTTACCGACAGAGGATGTTAATTATTATAAAATCTAAATTAGAAAGAATTTTCTTTGGCTTAAACCTCGAAGAAAAGAAAAGGAATACTGCAGGATTAAAGAATAAAGGCAAACTGTTGGATTTGCTGAATATCCTCATTACTTTTTATCTTGTTTAGATGAAAATAAAACACAGTAAAACCAGACTTTAATAAGTGCCTAAAGGAGTCCTCTCTACTGTCGATGATACACTACAAAACAGATTTAATCACATGAAGTTTAATCATTTTGCTCATCCTGAGCTGCAATCATACATTCAGGCACTTTTCTTCTCTTAGTTTATAACAAGCTGTTTCAGGCTCCAGAGATGTGACGTCAGGTGAGCAGTGGGTGTCGGGAGGATGGCTGTGATGTCACAAACAAGCTGACGTGTTACCCGATCTATTCCGACACCGTAGGAAAGAAGAAAGAAAATGAGACGTTTGCATGGAAATGAACAAAGTTTGTTCTCCATAAGAGCCAAAAAAAAACAAAGAGCTGGGAATGCTCCACCACAGCGGGAGATGCTGAGAGTGAGGTGAGCTCCTGGAGAGCTGTAGTGCTCCTGAGGCACTTTATCTCATATTTCTGAGCTGAGTAATGACTGAGTGGAAGAGCCTGCAAAAAATACAGGCAGCAGCAGACGGGTTGTCAGCACCTCCACCGAGTTTTAATGCAGGAATGCATCACAATAAACACACAGCAAAGGTGAGAAGGCCGTTACTAATAATCAGAATCAGAACAGGTTTATTGCCATTATCAGTGAACAAACAATTCACAAACTAGGAACTTGCTTTGGTACTAATGTGCTACATATAACATGAATAATAATAAGATTAAAACTAGAATAAAACTTTCAGCTATAAAAAATGGCTGGTAATGGTAATATGGCCGATAACGTGATGTTGTGTCGAGTACAGAAGACGAGCATGGTTGTGTGTTTATAATCTATTCACAAGTCTAAAGGCAGATGGAAAGAAGCTGTTCTTATGGCAGGAGGTTCTGGTCCTGATGGACCGTAACCTCCTGCCTGAGGGAAGCGGCTCAAAAAGTCTGTGACCCGGGTGAGAAGGGTCAGCTGCTATCCGACCTGCACGCCCCCGAGTTCTGGAGACGTACAGGTCCTGGAGAGATGGAAGGCTGCAGCCAATCACCTTCTCAGCAGAGCGCACAATGCGCTGCAGTCTATGTTTGTCCCTCACCGTGGCTCCAGCGTACCACACAGCGATGGAGGAGGTGAGGATGGACTCAATGTTGGCCGTGTAAAACTGCACCATCATCTGGGCCGGCAGCTTGGCCTTGTTCAACTGCCGCAGAAAGTACATCCTCTGCTGGGCCTTTTTGATCAGGGAGCTGATGGATGGCTCCCACCTAAGGTCATGTGTGATGGTGGTTCCGAGGAAGCGGAAGGAGTCCACAGTGGTGACGGGGGTGTCCGTCAGGACGAGGGGGAGAGATGGGGCTGTGACTTTCCTGAAGTCCACAATCATCTCCACTGTCTTCTGAGCATTGAGCTCCAGGTTGTTGCTGCTGCACCAGTACACCCGCCGTTCCACCTCCCTCCTGTAGGCGGACTCATCACCGTCAGAGATGAACCCGATGAGGGTGGTGTCGTCCGCAAACTTGATCAGTTTAACAGAGTCATGGCTCGAGGTGCAGCAGTTTGTGTACAGGGAGAAGAGCAGAGGAGAAAGTACACAGCCCTGTGGAGATCCTGTGCTAATAGTCTTAGTGGTGGAAACATTCTTCCCCAGACGCACGCACTGCCTACGGTCCGTCAGGAAGTCAGTGATCCACCTGCAGGTGAACGATCATGAAAGGCAAAGGTTTGACTATATTTAAAGAATCTCCAAAGTGCTGCACGCATGAGTAAAAAGGGAGTGGCCGTCTGCTTCTATTATCCAGCCAGTTTGGCAGGAAAACGGTTAAAGCAGTGCAATCATGCAACAAGGAGGCGCATTTCTTCAGTCAGGTTTGACCAGTTGGACTGAGACTCTATAGGAGGATCAAAGGTCAACAAGGATGTGAATTACAGAAGACGTGGGTATCAATAACAAAAATAAAGAGACTCTTATGTTTTTACTGTCAGATGTGTGAAGACAACAAATCAGTGGTTTTGATGCCAAGCGGCTGGGAAAC